TAGTTCAATAACATTTTGAATGCGAGTCAACAAACGCGATGAGATGTGACCCATCTGGAACGGGTAACTTGTACTCATGAATGATATTCTTTATTTTACAGATTATTGAAACAGGATGTTTTAAAGAGCTGAATGTTTTTGGTGCTAATGACACACCTTCAGATGACCTTAAGTTGGATCAACCTCCCCAACCACCAGTCCAAGGGTGTTTCCCATTTAGAAAGAAAATACCAAAACAGGTAACGAGAAATATCTTCAGCAGAAATTTGTATTTTTCAATCAGTAGTTAAAAAAAAACAATTATAAAAGAATGAAAATGGTTTCACCCTTAACCTAACGATTGATATAAGATATTGTTGATTGTGTATTTAAGTTTTTTAGTTTTAAAACTTTTAATAAACTGACCAGGAGTCATACCTGCGTATATTTTTAGAATTAATGCTGTCTTGTATATGATAGCATAGAAATATTCAGTCTTTGATTTCTCGAATATCTTCAAAGTGATACATCTTTAAAAACAATAAATTTGATAAAAATGTCCACCTTGCAAAAATACTTGGTTTCTAATTTTGGTGTTAAATTGTTTTCCTGAACTTTATGTATTTTCTTAACATCTTGAAAGTTTATTATACTGTTACTTATACTTGTTTATCTATTGGGTTGTTACGTTCATAAAATGTAATGATATCTATTTAAAAATAGATTATAAAAGTTCAAAAGTTATAACTAAGACGTGTATACGTTATAGATAACACACATATGTGTTAATGATGTTATTTTGATATTGGGTTGTTACATTTATAAAATGTATTATTATGATCTAAAAGTATAATTATTTAATCTAAATCTTTCTTTTTTTAATTTTTAGAACATGCCAGTCAACAGAAAATTGTCACTCCCAGTAACAGGTGATTGAAGGTTTAAATTTTATTTTAAGCCGCACACCAGGTCAAAAGAAACCAGATCGTCCCTGGTCAACTCAGTGTCCTCAACATTCCCAAACAAACCAGAATCAGTGTCTTCTGATAAATCAGTACACTTGCGTCAACTTGTTATTTATTCCTTCGTCACAAACTTGGTGTATTCCCGTACGAATCTCATCAGCGAATTATCTAAAAGGAACAGGAAGATTCTTCCCAGATGTTCGTGGACTATCTGAGAATTTTAAATATTATTTATGGATACTCATTTGTTCAACTACTTGATTGTAAAGTTAAGTTACAAGTAGATGAAAGACCTGTAAATATGTAATAGTATCTGTTTTACGTGCTTACATATTATTTTGTGTATGGGTTTAGATTTCTAAGACAAAACATAGAAATACATCATAGCTTAGCTTTATATTGGTTTTTTTTTACAGAAATCTCAACTCAGTCACTTATTTTACAAAGCTTTTTTTTTTTAATTCATCATCAAACCTATTTCAGCTTTTGTTGGTTTTATAATTTTTCCGTTTCCTAATGAAGTTCAACCTCGGAAGTCAGTTCCTTGTAAGTTTATCATGATTGTTTAATTTTGTATTCATCGAGGTTTCAACCAATGTAATTTTATTGTAGTTATTCAGTCTGGCAGAGGGACAGGAACCTCTGAATTGCTAAGTTCCTTAAAGACAAATTATCATCTAAACCTTGGAAACTAGAGTGACAGTGAATTTTTATTTGTATTCTACACATCTTCTGTACTGAGTAATTAAAAAATATAGATGCTTTTGTGTAAACCACTGGAAGCAGACTGAACGATAGAGGTTTTGAAAGATTCTTGTATGAAAATCTTGTTCTTCATAACCAGTACAAGTTGTTTTTTATGTCTCCGAGCTCTTGCTACTATAGTATTCTTCAAACAGTAAAGATTGTCTAATATTCAGAAGTGTTTCTTGTGTAACATATCTATCTAATAAGAATGGTTAATGTATCCAAACTCTTTCGTCAGTTGCTCTATTTAAACTTTGTGGAACAGTACCGAATAAAATACAAGTAATATTACCTGTTAGTTAGTGAGGATTATAATTTTATTAATCCTGGAAAATGTAATAAGAATTATTCTAAAATAACTTATAAGTAGCAGTGCTTTGGTATCATAGAAACAGAAGGAACAGGTTTCTAAACCATGCTACTATAGTATCGTCCATTTGATAGAGATGACGTGACATTTTCACTTTGTAGAATGAACCAATTAGAACTTTTATGTATTTACTGTGATGTCCTATTACAAATGAGCTGCAAGTAACTGTCCATTGTATTACAAATTCCAACCACAAACCAACTCCGTTTATGAAATTTAATTTTTGTATATTTGGCTAAATTTTCAGTAAATGTATAACATTTTTGTCAGTGATATAATACATTGACTTTGTTGAAAATTATTAATGGTAATTTGTATTTATTCTAAATTAACTTTAAGTTAATTTTTTGTTTTACTTTTATATTTGTTTTTGTGTGTATGTGTGTGTGTTTTAACTTCAGAACCAGTGATGTATTGTTAAGCCTGCTCAAAACACAGACTTGTTTTTATTGATTTATAAGTTAAAATTTACTTGCAAGTTGTTTTAAAAGTGAGTAAACTTATGAAGTAGTTGAATGTCATAGGATTTTCTCAGACATTGCTTTTAAAATTATGTATTCAGGATGGAACAATAATAATAATAAATGGTGTTCTTAAAGAAGACCTATCCTTAATTTCACAAATTGCAGTATAATGTTATTTGATATTGGTTTGTTTTGTGGTAGTATACACTATCCATATTGGATCTAACTAAACTCCTTGATCCTCTGCCTGTATACATGATTAGTGAGCATTGGTCCTGTTGAAAAATTAATCTTTCAGTAATTACTTCTCTCTTAAGTGGCTTGTTAGATCTCACATGTCTAGTTTCTTCTGCTTGTTAGACAGTGTATTTCTATATCTAAACAATGGAGTATTGATACACTAAAGGTGAAGTATCTTGTAGACAGTTGTTGATACGGTAAAGGTGAAGTGTCTTGTAGACAGTTATTGATACAGTAAAGGTGAAGTGTCTTGTAGACAGTTATTGATACACTAAAGGTGAAGTATCTTGTAGACACAGTTGTTGATACGGTAAAGGTGAAGTATCTTGTAGACACAGTTGTTGATACGGTAAAGGTGAAGTATCTTGTAGACAGTTGTTGATACGGTAAAGGTGAAGTATCTTGTAGACAGTTGTTGATACGGTAAAGGTGAAGTATCTTGTAGACAGTTGTTGATACGGTAAAGGTGAAGTATCTTGTAGACAGTTGTTGATACGGTAAAGGTTCTGTAATGTAAACTACCCAGTTCTTCCAGACACGGTTCGGTTCTATAATGTAAACTTCCCAGTTCTTCCAGACACGGTTCGGTTCTATAATGTAAACTTCCCAGTTCTTCCAGACACGGTTCAGTTCTATAATGTAAACTTCCCAGTTCTTCCAGACACGGTTCGGTTCTATAATGTAAACTACCCAGTTCTTCCAGACACGGTTCGGTTCTATAATGTAAACTTCCCAGTTCTTCCAGACACGGTTCGGTTCTATAATGTAAACTTCCCAGTTCTTCCAGACACGGTTCGGTTCTATAATGTGAACTTCCCAGTTCTTCCAGACACGGTTGGGTTCTATAATGTAAACTTCCCAGTTGGTTGGTTGTTTTTAGAGCAAAGCCACATCTGCTGTGTCCCTAGCAGGGAATCGAACCCCAGATTTTAGCGTTGTAAGTCCGTAAACTTACCGCTGTCCACCCCGGGGACTGCAGTTTGTAATTTCAAATTTAAAAGAAATGCGATATTGTTGCAGCTAGGCTGTAATTATAACAATAAATAACACTTGTGTATTGTTACACATTGTTACGATTTATTGAAAACTTGTAGTTGCATACTGGAGAGGTTTAGACAATTTGGCAATAAAGTTGTAGAAAAAATAAATTAATTAAAATAATGACTTTTAACTTCCCAGATAATACACAAATTATTTCAGCTTACATTTCATCCTTGTGGCGTCATCAGGGTTAGTAGTACTAGATAAATCCGCAATGATGAAACGTTAGCTGAAATAAAAAGTTTATTATTATTATTATTATTATCATATGGAGAATAATTATTAACCCTATAACCCAAGCGCTTTCTAAAAGCAGACCTTTTACATCACGGCCACCGAAAGCGCTGGAGTAGAGAGGGTTTCGTACTTCAGTCTTTCATTGATTTTTTTGAACCCGTGTATTTTCCTGCAGCGTGTTCTTGAAGGCGATGGGTCATTACCCTATGTGCATGTCCTTGCAATCAGTACACGTTTTAAAGGACTTTTTATGTTGTCCTTGAAACTCGAATATTTTCTTATCCTTATAACTGGTTTGGATAAAATCCTAACATTTTTAGTTAGTGTTTTTTGGTCTTTGTATAACTGTGAAGAGAAAGGTTAAATAAATTTTCATTTTCTTCCACAGCTGTTTCGTAAATATTTCTTAGACTGTTTATGACTGTAGTAAGATAGATGTTTTTTATTAATATATTTTTTATGTATTTAAAAACAGGCTGTACATACTGGACAACAAATTATTTGTGCAGTAAAATTTTGATAAAGTTTTCTTCGTATTTTAGCGTGGTAAAATGTGTAAATAATCCTGTGTTTATGATAGATTTCAATTTTCAAATGGTTTACCCTGGTTCAGTACTAAAATGTCTAGAAATGATGTTTCGACGTTAAAGTTTCCTAACCGTATCGTGATGTTAACTACAGTGGCGAATCAGCAGGAGGACAAGCGGGGCTACTGCTCAGGGGCCCCAAATTTTAGGCCAGGATACTGTATGTAAATAGTGTTTTTGAAATAGGAAGGGTTATTAGAAAGGAAAGAAGATTTTAAAAAATGCCTACTCATGGAAGTGCTATTTAAAATTTTATTATGGTTATTTTTTACGAGCAATATTTATGTTATTAAAATAGAATGAACGATTAAAAATTTACGTATAAAAAAGAGGGAACTTAATTATGAAAATTCAAACATCAGTTGACAAGGTGTATACTTAAAGCTTTCTTCTACAATAAATATAATATACATGAGGGGAGTCCATATTATTCACTGTCCCCAGGCATCTAAATCAGCCACTGGTTTAAACCCATGCTGAGTCTACCTTCTATGAATATAGAAAGTGTGAACCTTTGGTAGCCCTTTCTAATAACTTCATTCGAGTTAGTCTCTGTTTTTCATTTTCTTTCAGGCTGGAAGTATTCCACTAAGTTAGTATTTATCGTTCGTCGCTATACGTTAAATTTAAACAGATGTCTATTTAGACTTGCTATTGTTAAATCCCTTGATCTTATCTGTGAATCCAAATCTGTCCTTTAGCGTATATTTATTTATTATTAATTATTTGTAGGTGTTTATTTAAATAGTTTCTGATTAAAACAACCAATATTTCTGACAATAGGTTGAATCATAATTTTTTTTCTGTGGAGTTTTGGTGACCAAGATAGGATTCCGACATGTGATCCACAGCGTTTGATTTGACGGTTTTTAATTTGCATACATTATTTCAAATGAACTGTAAAGCGATGCTAGGATACATTTTATGAAGTTTTATTATCATAATTACAATTAGAATTTATTTAATGCGCAACTTGGTATAAAAAACTTTTATTATTTGTGTATTGTAGGTGAATAAATTAAAGAATAGGTTACAAAATCCCCAAGTATTTGTGTGTGAATCTTTTTTTTTAATAATATGTACTAGGGGTAAGGTGGTCGTCTTGTACGTATATATTAACAATAAGAATAACATTTTGCTAAGAAATTTTATAATCGACTTTCAAAATTCCGTGCACATAATGTTCAAATTTTTGTAAACGCGCTTTTGTTCTAAGCCTTACGATATGATGAAAAGCGATAGGTCAAAACGTTATTTTCCAGAAATAAATACACACACATATATAGATATATAAATAAAACTAGTAATCTATTGTGTAACTTTTATATCATTGTCGTATTTGCAATTATATATATTCACTTCCGTTCATTGTAGGTGAACAACATTGTTGTGAGTATTTACGGCATCGCCCTGGTAACAAGAACATTGAGACGTATTATAATTTAACTTGTAGCTCCTACGAAACAAATATACTACGCATAATATAGTAATAAACATTTTTTGAATTGTGAAATCTTTTATACTTTAAGCACAACTTAAAAAAAAGCATATTAGCCTTGATACTAAATAAGACTCCGGTGTTATTTTAAGACATTTTAATATATTTTCAAATATTTTAATTTATACATCTAAGATAGAAATACCGTTCCAATTTACAGGTAACGAATTGTTCAAGTTTCCCTATTAAGATACTTTATCTTAGGCGGCTGTTATTAGGTGCTTAAGTATTGTTTTCAGTATTATTTATATATATATATTTAAATGTTAATAATGGCAAACTTCATCATCAATTAGCAATGGTAGCAGCAAGACTTTCAGTACAATACAAGGCCTATCCATGTCAGTTCAAGCGATTGACACGTTCTCAAACAGCTTTTCACAGACTTCCAGTAGGTGGCTTATTAGTTTACATTATCAGTCGAAAATTAACACAGAAAAAAAAATCATTATTTTATTTTTCTGGTCTAATAGAATAAGACAAAATACGTCAGTAAGAAATAACAGGGTTAGGTAATTTTTTTATAAACATAATATTTATATGTGGTTGAAACTTGTCTATTTAAAAACGAAACTATTTCTAATCTTATTTCCATGCAATTTATATAATACTTTCTTGGAGTGATTAAGGGTTCTATGTTTTTTTTGTAATTATATTTCTCACTAAGCCGGGCGTGGACTAGTGGTTGGTGTGCCTACTATAGATCTAACAGTAGATGGTTCGCGTCTTTGCCACAAAATGTCTTTCGACCCGCGAAGCCGTAGACGCATCAAATCCCACTATTAAATTGAAGTAACCCAAAAGTGGACGGTGGGCACTGTTAAATAGCTACCATCCGTCTAATTTATTATGGACGGTTAGAGCAGGTATCACTTGTGTAGTTCTGTGCGCAATCCAAAACAGTACTACTCAGAAACACGTTGATTAGACGGGTTAAAGCTAATCGAAAATTAATATAAATCTTACTAAAATAATTAGGGCTTTCATCGAGAGAATCACATCGGAGAACTGATATGTATTAATTTTCTTTACTCAGTTAAGTTTATCTGTTACGAATAAAATAAACACATTTCTCTCTTTGGCAGCAAGCATTTTACCCCCAAGCGTAACAACACGTGTAAATCGGGGAGTAGTTTTTAAGTTATTCAATTCCGTTACTAACAGTGACGATGAACGATATCGTGTTTTTTTTTTTCTTGCGTTTTAAACTTTACAATTGCTACACGGGTATAATTGTAATACCAAAGTGTCAATACCGTTTTTATAATATTTATTGATCTGTTTCCATCACGAATTGTAGTTTTATAAACTAGTTAAAACTACGTCATTTATAATGTCACAAAATACACTAACAAAACGAGTTTAAATGGGAAATTTTTGTTTTGTATTACAGACTACGTATTCCAATTTACTGTTATTCAGGACAGTTAAAAAACACCCCCTTAACCTTCCCAAATCACTGGACGCCGTGTTTGGAACTTATGGGTCTTTTCCTACATCAATCCTCACCCGATCCATGACTCTTGGACTTTGGGCATCTAATAGCAACACGAAAAACGTAGTCCTTACGAGACACAATGTCAAAAGGATTTAATTCAAGGTCGAGTTCACTGATCACGTCTCCTTGGAATAAAACAAACAAACAAACTTTTGTTTAATTCATTAAAGATTTAAGCTAATGTTTTACGGTTAATTCATTTTTTCTTCATTACCAGTCCATGGTTTTGTAACGTAAATCTATGTAATAGTTTATCATATGTAAAGCAGAAATAGAAGTTCAAATTTCTCTTCACTTTATTAAACTGGTCAATAAAATTGTATACTTGAAGGTCTCTTGCTTCCACTGTTATTCTGGAGTTTGTCTGTGGGTACTACTGA